CACACAGAGACCCGAGGACAAAACACAGACTGACAGAAACACACAGAGACCCGAGGACAAAACACAGACTGACAGAGACACAGAGACCCAAAGACAAAACACAGACTGACAGAGACACAGAGACCCGAGGACAAAACAGACTGACAGAACCACAGACTGACAGACACACAGACGGACAGACACACAGACTTGACAGAATCACAGACTGACAGAAACACACAGAGACCCGAGGACAAAACACAGACTGACAGAACCACAGACTGACAGACACACAGACGGACAGACACACAGACTTGACGGAATCACAGACTGACAGAAACACACAGAGACCCGAGGACAAAACACAGACTGACAGAACCACAGACTGACAGACACACAGACACAGAAGCACAGACTGGTAGATGCCTTTTAATTATTATTATATTAGCGATCCTGTGTATTTGTGTATTAATGAGTGGGTTGTGTATTACTTAGTGTGTATGTTAGGGGTCCTGTATGTTTGTGTATTAATTAAAGTGTTGTGTATTAATTAGTGTTTATATTAGGGGTCCTGTGTGTTTTTGTATTAATGAATGTGTTGTGTATTAATCAGTGTGTGCATTACTGGGTGTGTGTATCAGTGCGAGTGGATCAGCGTAGCAGCCTGTGTGTATCAGTATGTTTGTATCATTCTGTGTGTACCAGTGTGTGTATTAGTGTATCATTCTGTGTGTACCAGTGAGTGTCAGTGTATCAGTGTGTATGTCAGTGTATCATTCTGTATGTATCAGTGTGTGTATTAGTTTACCAGCCTGTGTGTAACTTTGCGTATCAGTGTATCAGCCTGAGTTTAACAGTGTGTGTCTGTGTATCAATATATCAGCCTGAGTGTAACAGTGTGTGTATATCTGCCTATGTGTAAAAGTGTGTGTCAGTGTACCAGTCTGAATGTAACAGTGTGTGTGTATATCATTGTATCAGCCTGTGTGTAACAGTGTGTGTATTAGTGTATCAGCCTGTGTATAACAGTGTGTGTCGGTGTGTGAGCCTGTTTGTAACAGTGTGTGTGTATCAGCCTTTGTGTATCAGTGTTTATTAGTGTGTGTCAGTGTATCAGCCTATGTGTAATAGCTGTGTATCAGTGTATGTATATATCAGTGTCTTTGTGTATCAGTGTGTGTATTAGTTTATCCGTCTGTATGTATCAGTGTGTGTATTAGTGTATGTATGTCAATACCTTTGTGTATTAGTGTGGATTAGTACACGAGCCTGTGTGTAATAGTGTGTATCAGTGTGTGTATTAGTTTATCAGCCTGTATGTATCAGAGTGTGTATTAGTGTTTGTGTGTA